GATTTTTAAAGTGTAGTCTGCTAGTTTCCTGGTCCGAGTCTTAATCGTCGTTCCCCGTTGCTGTGTGTATGTGTTCCGTGTTCCTGTGGATTATTAAAGACTGTGTTCCTGTGAATTCTCCTATGACTCCTCGTTCCTCGCTCCTCGTTGTAGTAGAGCAACCGTGACAGAAGACTCCACCAACAAACAGTTTATTGCATGTTTTTTATTCGAGTGCAACAGTTTTTGTGCTCAAGGACCATACCAGACTGTTTCTTGCCCTCGCCCCTCTCACCAGCTACCCAGACGACGCACTCTGCGCATTCTATGATGCCAGGCTGAACCCCCACGTGCAGAGCTGCTGTAGTCCTAAGATAGTCCTCGAGCGGATTTCGCCGCCTTTGCAGAGTGGATACTGGTGAGAAACGGATCCCCGTTATCCGTCTGTTCCGAGGAGGATCTCGCCAGTTCCACTCTTGACCCAGAGCCCAGCCCACCATCTCCCCGCTGCATGGAGCATCAGCCCGAGCCCACCGCTGATGGAGAGCCTGAGCTCACCACGGCCGACAAGCCATTGCCGCATGGAGCGACAGTGCAACTGATCGCGCCGGAGCTGCAAGTGATGTCAGTCAAGGTGCGAGAGCCGGCAACCGAGCCCACCATGAGGGAGAATGCCACGGACAGTGAGAGAGCGGAGAGGAGCTCTACCCCCTGCACTGTGGCTGAGGGTGAGCTGATAATGAATCTGAGACTGCTGGACTGCAAGGGAGAGGTTATAGAAGGGGACCTCATCGACTGGGATGCTGATCTGGCCCCTTTCCTCCCTCCTGCTGCGGAGCCCTCTATCACTCCTGTTCCCACGTCCCACCCAGTGAAGTCTCCTGTTTCCATGTCCAGCCCAGGGAGGGCTCCCGTTCCTGAGTTCAGTCCTGAAAGCCCGGAGGCTCACAAATGCCTGCCCTCCCACCTGCTCCTGCTTCCTCCTCCACTGTCGTCTGCAGCCCCTCTGCTCGCCCTCAGCCCACTATCAGCAAGGTGCAAGCTCCGCTCCTCCAGCGTCGCCATGGCTGGGGTATCCCTTGACTCCGCCTCCAGCCTATAAACCCTGGACTCCGCCTCGGCCCGTAGACCCGTCGTCTCCACCATGGCTCCTAGCTCCCTCTTCTCCGCCATGGCCCGGCAGTCCATTAGCTCCGCCGAGCTCCCTCGCCCCTCAGGTTCTGCCTTGGTCTGGCGTCGACCATCCTGCGCCTGGGGACTCCACTCCTCCGGCTGCACCTTGTCCCTTCGTCCCTCCAGCTCCGACAGGCTCCATCCCAAGTTCTCACCCATCCCTCCCTCTCTTTCTACGGCGCGAGGATGCACCTTCTCGGAGGGGGGCAATATGTCAGGGTTATGGACCTGTTTTGTTGTGTCTTCCCTCCCCATGCGCTCCCCGTGACCTAGTTTTCCCGTGTGTTTGATTGTTCATTGCTCCCAGGTGTGTCTTGTCAATTACCCTATGCATTTAAGTTCCAGTCTGTGCAGTCTGTCTTTGTCCGGTATTGAATATGAACGTCTTGTGCTATGCGTGTTCCTGTCTGCCCTGTGTACCCCGTGTAGGAAGGATTAAAGACTGTGCTTATTGTGAATTATCCTGCGTCTCCGCATTCTCTTTGCCCCACGCTCCTCGCAGTAGCTGAGTCGTGACAACTACAGCTTCTGTAAATATCAATAGTGTGATCTGAATTGAGTTTAGGAAGAAAAAGTGAATCTAGTGATGACCTGAAAGAAATTAAACACGTGATTTGATATGATCTGATACTTGAAAACAGCTCATGTCCCAAGATTGAGATCCAGTCTGTTAAAGGGGTCATATGATGTTGCTAAAAAGAACATTATTTTGTGTATTTGGTGTAATGAAATGTGTTTATGCAGTTTAAGGTTAAAAAAACACATTATTTTCCACATACTGTACGTTATTGTTTCTCCTCCATGCCCCGCCTTTCTGAAACGCATCGATTTTTACAAAGCTCATCGGTCTGAAAAGCGAGGTGTGCTCTGATTGGCCAGCTATCCAGTGCATTGTGATTGGCTGAATACCTCAAGCGTGTGATGGAAATGTTATGCCCCTTTCCATAGTGTGATGCCGTGTCCCGGCCAGAGCGAAGAGACAAAAACATTAAAACCCATTATAAACGAGGCATTTGTTGCATCCATTATAATGACTTATACTGTCTTTGTACATGTTGCATTGCATCGTGCCGTGTAAACATAAAACCATATCTGCATTTGTGATCGGAGAAATGACAAAAAAACAAGCACTACTCTACACTGCTCAAAACTCGCGTTTGAATCATCAGTGGCAAATAATTTAAATATGAAAAACATACTTTGCCGGCATTGTAGTCTAGTCTCCTAGGAAACAGTCCTCCATAAAATGTGCTGCACACATCTGGATATTTGGGTTAAACTGTTCCGGAACAGTGTTGTAAATACAACTTAACCACTGATTTCTAGTTGTGTCCTCTTTTGGAAGGCCAAACAAAGTTGTTTCACTTTCACAATGAAACACATAGCGTCACACACGGCAGGCTAGAGTGAGCGGAGGCCGGCTGCTAGAGTGAGCTTGAGAACGGCACGGCTGGCAGATTCGATGAAGGAGCGGCTGGCGGGCTTGCGGCAACCACATGTGACGACCCCGGGCTGGACTCCGCTTCGTCCACGGTGAAAGCCGATCCGGCGATCCAGAGCGCAAAGTTGATGTATTTCCTCAGCGACCAGCACGGATCAGCTCTAGGCATGACGAAGCGGATATCGTCCTCTTTTGGAAGGCTAAACAAAGTAGTTTCGCTTTCACAACGAAACACCCAGCGTCTCGACATGGCGGCAGCAACAATACTACAGCGAGAGTTTTCTTTGCGTGAACATTTGGGCGGCATTATGCAAATCTTCCCACATCATGACATAGACATGTGGGGGCGTGTTAGAAGGAACCGTTTTAGGTAGACGTGGTTGACTCTTAACTTTCATAAAGAATGTCTCTTTGGATTTGAGACTTTAGTCTTTGCAACTTTACAGATCTTCTTAATGCACAAAGAGCTTGTAACACTCCAATGAGAAAGGAAAAATTTTAATCATATGACCCCTTTAAGCTAAATTTGATCCAGGCAGTGAAATTAACCTTTTTAAACTGGCTGTCTGTCTGATGTAAATGGCATTTTGAAAGCCCATTTATTCATTTCCACTGCATCTCAAGCTTAAGAGCTGAAGTGAGAAAAAACTCTTAACACCATCAAACTGAACATTACAGTCCATATCTACCCATCTCATAATGGTGAAAGTAAAGTGGACAACTTCACTTAGAACATTTTGTCTGTCTCTTTCAGAAAAACTGTGAACTTTTTCAACTTATTTTTTCCCCACTCAGTTCTATAAGGTTTCTGATTAGTTGCTTTGGTGCCAGCATTATAGTCTTCAAACAAACAAACCCAATTAAAGAACCTTTTTAAACTGGCTGTCTGTCTGATGTAAATGGCATTTTGAAAGCCCATTTATTCATTTCCACTGCATCTCAAGCTCAAGAGCTGAAGTGAGAAAAAACTCTTAACACCATCAAACTGAACATTACAGTCCATATCTACCCATCTCATAATGGTGAAAGTAAAGTGGACAACTTCACTTAGAACATTTTGTCTGTCTCTTTCAGAAAAACTGTGAACTTTTTCAACTTAAGGTTTCTGATTAGTTGCTTTGGTGCCAGCATTATAGTCTTCAAACAAACAAACCCAATTAAAAATCTCAACTACAGAACCAAGAAAGCATAAAAAGTAACCCTAGTCGCACCAGCAGCACCTCTCTCTATTCATAAACTAATCAGAGATTCCAAGTGCATTTATGTAAACAAATGTTGCTCCCTCAAGAAGCTACTTGAGCACCTGCTACATCTGTGAAATCACATTTGCTTCTAGTCTGAGCAATGAACAGCACAGATCACTTCATTACAGTTTATGGAGGGCCCTTTGAATACTAGAACATACACAAGGACAAAGAGAGGAAAATGACTGTGGTTCATGGTAGTGCTAGACTACAATGCAAGTAATGTATGGCTAAACGTGTAAATGACAGACTTGGCTTGTTGTGTAATATTGAATTGAATGGCAGGGAGATAATGACTCTCACATACATTCAAATATGTCTCTCTCTTAGCTTGCAGTACTTTAAAAATGGACTCCAGCGAAAATGACTAATTACAATGACTAATTTTTAATTTTTTCTATATTTTTTTCTAACATGTTGGTGTTGTACCTTTCACTTTGATGTTATAAGTTGCACTGTAAATGCAGTAAATACGGCTGGATAAAACACAAACTGTGTCCATCTTCATTTCAGGCTGCAAAGCAACAAAATGTTATTATTCTAAAGAGGGTGATCCTTTTCTATAATGACTGTAGTTATCGCTAAGATTTCTTTACAAAATCAAGAAAAAAGTAAAAACAGCAATGTTAGTGAAATATTATCATATATTAAATAAACTTAAATAATAATAATACATTTAAATTGTCTACTATTTTAATTTACATCTGTGATGTCAAAGCTGAATTTTCAGCACCCATTATTTCAGTCTTCACAGTTTTCATCTAATATGCAGATTTGGTGCTGAAGAAACATTTATTATTATTATTATCAAAGTTGAAAACCGTTGTGCTGCTTAATATGTATTGTGGAAACAATGTTTTTTTGTATTCTTTTATGAATTAAAGAACAGTATTTATTTGCAGCCTTGTATATTATAATTGTCTTTACTGTCACTTTTGATAAACATAAATGCAAAAATAAATAAATAAATACATACCTTTTGACCACAAATGTTTGAACATTAGTGTATATAGTTTTTATTTCTCTATTTTCTATCCACAGTCTGACATTTCATCTTCAACTAATGGTATGAATCTGTGGTGAGACAACGACTGGCGAGACAGAAGGGGCACAAGGATTATTCCATGATTAGCACCAACTAGAGAATATTCTTTCCTGTAGCAGAAGCTCCTTCTCCACAACCTCCTGAGTCTTAGCTATCAGCCTCCGCTGAAGAGAATGAATCTTCTGAATCAGTTCAAAGCTACTTGGATCACTCGCCTAAAAAGAAAGAGAAGCAAACTCAAACTGTTTTGGAAGACTGTATTATTTCTACAACTGTTTCAGTAACAAGCCAATGTAAGTTCATACCTCTAGTTTTCTCCAGCGGTGGACATTCAAGGGATTGCCAAGCTCATCCTCTAGAGCTCGACATCTTGTCCTCTCTTTCAGCAGCTCCCTCTGCATATGAAACACTTCATGTCTGCCATCAGAACAAAGAAACACCGGTAGAGTGACTCCGACACTGGTTTTCAGGCTGCAATAAAAGCAACAATAATCTACTAATTTATAGTCAGTCATTTAAAGTCCCTTGCATTCTGGCAGGATGCAACAGCACTTTAAAAATGAGTTTGCATGAGAGGTTCTAAAAGCCTGCACTTCACTTATTCACTTATGCACCACAACAGGCACAAACAGGGATATGCAAACAAGAGGGTGAATGGAAGCGAGAGGGAGAAACAAATCTCTTGGATCTCATATCAACAGGTTATGGCTCACAACATAATCTTAGCTGACCTTTCCCTCTCTGTACCAAACAAGACACTTGTAGACATGTATGCTTTTCTGTAGACTTATGCACATACATTCTAGCATTCGCAGCTATTTTAAGGTTGGTCTATGTACATATTCGCTGAATAGTCTCATCATTTATTAGATTAGTTATGCACAAATTTGGTTTCAAGCTAGATTTTTTTTACATGTTTCGAAGAAAATTTGAGTGGTATTTTCCCATGAAAAATCCCAAATTGCTATGTAGTTAGAGTGTTGCAAGTGATTGCTTATGATATTTTTGTTTCAAGATTGGGTCACTCTCTCAATATACATGGATTTTTTTTTTTTATCATCCAAGGTAATTGTATGCCTGAGTGCTTAGAAAAGTAATGAACTTCTACTTAGCTAGAATAACTTTAAAGGAATAGTTCATCCAAAAATTTAAATTTGCTGAATATTTATTCACGCTCAAGCCATCTAAGATGTAGTTGAGTTTATTTCTTCATCGGAACATGACATCACTTACTGACCACTGTATCCTTTGCTTTGAATGGATGCCGTCAGAATGAGAGTTCACAAAGATAAAACTGATAGAAACATCACAATAATCTAAAAGTAATCCGCATGATTCAGTCTGTCAATTAATATTAATTTTCAAGTGAAAAACTGCATGTTTGTACTAAACAAATTCATCATTAAGATGTTTTAAACTTCTATCTAGAGTCCTCTATCCATAGCTTTCTCAAGTGAAAAAGTCGTCTTGTCTGAATCAGGAGAGAAATATTTAAAGATTTAGCACCCTTTACAAGCAAAAACAGTCCAAAGCCGTTCTAAACAAATATGTCTGTGGATTTTGTGGATTTTGATGTGAGAGGACAACAGGGGATGGACTTTTTCACTGGAGGAAGTGTTATTATGGATAATGGACTCTTCTTTTTGCCAGAAGTGATGTTTTCAAGTTAAAATGCCTTAATTTGTTTCTTAAAAACAAGCTTTTCCCTTCACAAGACTTTAATTGATGGATTGGAGTTGTGTGGATTACTTGTGGATTATTGTGATGTTTTATCCGCTGTTTGGACTCTCAAGGGGGGCGGGACTAGTGTTTCAAGTGCCTGCTGTAGCTGTAACATTTGCCTGTTACAATGTTTGATGTGTTTTCGTAATTATGGACACCTGGAGAAAATATCCCTGTGCTCTGTTGTGCTTTGTTAGATTGCACCCACCTGTTATTTTGCACAACAGCATATTCTGTATGTACACCACACCTACAACGGAGACACTTATGGCAAGTCTAGCTACAGCCAGTGTCTTCCTTTGACCTGCTACAGTGATTCAACTCCACAAATAAACAACTTAAAAGCTCTATCAGCCAACCTATTAGCACGAGTGGCTTGCCAGAGTCTGGAAAAAGCAAATTACACCATTTCAGCCACAATAAGAAAGCCTCTTGAAATACAATACATACAATGCACGCTACTGCAAAATACACATTTGCAGCATAAAATTAATCACCTGAAACCATACTTTCCAGCACATGCAGGCAAACCGCTGGATGGATAACCCCATTTCGTCAAAATTCAAAGATGAGGGATTTGCACTCAAATCTATCGGACGACCCTCTACTTTGTCAAGCGACGAATAGGGGGTACCCCCAACGTCGGCTTATGGACGTGAGGGGGAAATTACCAAACGGCAGTATGTGACGAATAGGGGTGAGACCGTGTTGACAATACAAATGGCAAACTCATCTCTAATGACATCTAAGGACACACACACACACACACACAAATCTTCTTGGAATAGAGGAACAGAAAAGTGAATGAAAGGGAGATAAAATAACACCCTTTCTACACCAGACACGACTGGCACAACACAACATAAGCCCAAAAACCCATTATAGTGAAGCAACGCAACTGACGCTGGTAGGTCCCATGACAGTGAAAACATGGCGGATGTAGTACGTCCCAATTTTATTCATACTACACAAAATCATACCATGTAGATAGTACCTACTATGCAGTATGTTATTTTGGATGAAACGAGTGATTCCGTCTACAATGGAATCCGCGTGCCTTGATGTGACAAAAAATCCCTGACTGCAAACCTTAATCTAAAAAACTGTGTTAAAAATACACTATGGACAAAAAAGCAAACCCCCAAATAAAAAGTGGGGCCATGAAAATCCTTCTTTAAGAGGGTCTTTTAGCCCTTCTAACCTAGAAATGACAAAGAGCCATACTGTAACCAAATGAGAACTCAACCGAAATTATACGATGCACCGTTTAAACAGTATGTCCTAGAACTTTTTCTCTGAAGCAATGGAGAGAGATGGATAATGACAGTGCACAGCTCATTTACCTGAGCGCAACGCAGGTTGAGTTTATGAGGATGTTAGCGATTAGCATGCTAAATTGATCAAAAAGTAAATTCCTTTGGGGGAAAAGAAAACGCTGTTACCAAAATCGTCAGTGTACTATTATTTGTCTAGAAACGCAAGTAAACTGGAGAGGTTGCAAATGTTGTTGTGCTAAAAGACAGGGGAATTGCTTCTAAATGGCATGGATTGATTTCTCAAGACCTACAAGGTCTTTTTTCGTCATTGATGATTCAGACAAAATCAATGTTGTTAGTGTTTGCTATTTTTGAGGGAGAAAAATTGGCATTAGCTCTTGTTTTGGGTTGCTTGCTATCTTTAATATTTATAACTGTCACAACGGTTCTGTTCCAAAACTTACTGAGCTATAACTACAGAGTGTAGCAAATCAGCTCATGGAAAATATGAATAATTAACCATAACTAGTTATAATTAACTATTCATATTTTAGATCCACTGTAGATATTTAGCTGACCATTTCGCAATGATGACTGGCTGACTGATTACTTCTTGCTTATATTATTTTTTTAATTAAAAAAGCTGATATTTTCTATCCCTCATTAGAATCTGAGTTTTACCAGCTGCCAAGAACATGTGTAAAGACTGCATGCAAACAAACTCTATTATCTGAGGGATTGTATCTTTAGTTTGATTGAGGAAAGCGTGTATAATGCCTATTATGGCATGTTACAACTAAGGTTCAAGGTAGCGCAGCTAGCAGTTAGACAATGGTTAAGGAACGTTTATTTAAGTCTTATGAAATATTCATGCTAATCCGAATGGAAGCGGATTGCTGGGAATTTATCTGTCAGGATGCCACTCAACTGCTTTTTAAGTTTCCAGTTTCCTAATGAGCAAGAGGAGGGGAGGAACATATGGTCCTGTTCCGTATGCTTCACCTAGTCCAACCAGAGGTGAATAAAACATGGAGTAGAATTACCACACATGGATCTCTTTAAATGGAAGTATTGTTGACAAATTGTTGTAAATTTTCATATTAATCACAGCAGGAGCACAAATTTTCCCTGAACCAGGGATCGAAATATGCTAAATAACAATTGTTATAACTTGTATTATTATTGATATTAATATTATTATTAAATTAATTTATGGGAACTATGGTACTTTTTAGCACCATGCCACCCTAGTGTGCAATGTAGACTAAATGTACTTTCGAGTAGTATGACAGAGTATGATGTTCCATTCTTGATCACAGTTCACATTTGCTATGATTGACACACAAAAAAAATAATTTTTTCTCCTTTTTTAATTTGTAGAAAATGACATAGTTCAATGATATACTGACCGCTAAACCACAAATGTTCACGCTTAAGAGAGGAAATAGAGTAATAAAGGTAGAAAGGATGGAGGACAAGTGCTTGTGGGCACACTAGAGTGAGCAGAAGCGGCGGGCTTACAGATCTTCTTTATGCACCAAGAGCTTGTAACACTCCAAAGAGAAAGGAAAAATTGCAATCGCATCATATGACCCCTTTAAGACTGAAAGGCTAATATCACTGGTCTATAATAGAGAACTGGATTGCTCATGATGTCATAAAAAGTGAAGCTACCACACCTCTCAAAGGTTTATGCTTTCTAAGGTATGCATCTACAATTGTGTTGTGATATTGATTTTTATTCGTACAGTAGGCTACCTGCAAATGCTTCAACAATGCGTTCTTTAATAGCATGCATTTTGAAGCATTTTTTGATTCTAGTAATAGGCCATAGAATTTGAACTGTCTTGAAGAGTATGAAGTAAATGTTGCTCAATCAGGAAATAAAATATATGCATCATAACTTAGTCAGAGAAATAATGCTGACTGCATATGGATGTACAGACATGAAGCTTATATCCAAGATGACGCATGGCAGACTTCTAATTTCAATACAATAGTGCAATATAGTAAAAAAAGAGGCTTGTATTTATTGTTTATTCAAATCAGTTTCTGTCACAAATACCAGATGTTCATGGTTTTCCTGCATTATTATGTACATGAAGACATATATTTGTGTTTGGTCAATTACCGGTGTCGTCAGTACGCAGCAGACAAGCACCATCTTAACGATTTGAATATGTCGCTTATCCTGCCCAAAAAGACCATAAACATTATGGTCAGATAGCATCTGTAAGTAGCAATTAATTTAAATAAATACTGTATATGCTAAAAACTAATCCTGTGCAACTGATAAGCTAATAATATGCAACTAATAATATGGGGGCCAAGGTTTAGGCTGTCAGTCAATGATGCTTTCTGTGAGTAGGGAATAGCAATATGGCCGCTCAAACACTTCTGGTGGCTTCACCGCCTGATGGCAGTTTAGAATTATATGAG